AACCCTAAACCCTAAACCGCGCCCCAAAACCCTAAACCCTTTAGGGTTTAGGGTTCTTAAGGTTTAGCGTCCCAAAACCCAAAGCCTAAGCCCGCGTAAAAACCCCAAGTCGCCTGGTGAAACACCAGCCAGGAGCCATTCACGTTGCACAGGGAGGCGGAGGCGCCCAAGCCTTTTCGGCTTTAGGGTCTTGGGGGTCTTAGGGGTTTACTGGTTTAGGGGTTTAGGGGTCTAGGGTTTAGGGGTTTAGGGTGTAGGGTTTTGTAAGGTGCACTAGCCTCTTTCTCCGCATTACATGAGACTGTGAGTTTGCACTGTGGGCGGGAGGGGGGGGTTGGGGTTCAGGGTTTAGGGGTTTGTGGGCGTGAGGGTTTGGGGTTTAGAATTTAGGGGTTTTAGGTTTTAGGGGTTTAGGGGGTTAGGGTTTAGGGTAGCGCTTACCCCCTTTAGGGCTGAAGGCCAAGAGGGCTTGGAATTTAGGGTTGAAGGGGCTGTGGCCTTCGGGCTTAGAGGTTGTAGCTTTGGGGTTCGGGGCTTGCGGGCTGCGGGGTGGTTACGTGTATTTTCGTGATTTCGGGTTTAGGGTTGACTTGGAGGATCAGGGGACTTAGCAAGTATGGCTAAAAGTTTTAAAAGTACATTCATTGGGGTTATAAGTAGATATAAGTAGAGTTTCCCTAATGATAACGTTATTTAAGTATAGGTATAGGGTGTACGCTAAACCCCCAAACCATGGACCCTGAACCCTGGCCTTGAGGTTACAGGGAGTTGAGTCGGGGCTCGACGTCTTGAATTGAGGGTTTAGGACTCCGGCTGTTGGGTTTCATGGTTGGGGCTCGTTGGGTTCCATGGTTGGGGAGTCTAAGATTGCAGATTTAGGGCCAAAGGTTTCGTATTCATTGCTTCGGGCTTCTGCTGGCGGAATCCTCCGCCTGATTTAACTCATCCATGATTCGGGCCGCGGCCCTGCGAATCTCCCGGTTATGCCCGGTTCTTGAAGGCACCCTAAACCCTAAAACTTTTTATCATATAGATTTAAACCTTACTTCATTCGCGAGAAAATGTCGATTTCCTGTGTTTTTCAACATCTTCTCACGAAGCTTCGTACGAAAATGGTGTTCGGGGTTTCTGCTCACCAAATAATTGAGCTCAGAGTTTGGGGTTTAGGATTTCAGCCTTCAAACTTCATAAACAGAAGATATAGTGGTTTCTTGATGATATGGGAATCTTGGGTGGGTGGGCTGATTTCCGGAGTTAAGCTGGACTAGAAACTGCTCGATCCGGAGCTGCTGAACCCTGAACCCTAAACCCAAAGCCTTAAGCCCTCTAAACCCCCTAAGGCCTAAACCCTTTAAACCCTAAACCCTAAACCCTAGCCGGAGAATTCACTCTAAACCAAACCCCTACGCACCACCGGGCCCCAGCCCTGAAAACAATGCCCCCGCGTCGGTCCGTGTGGCCATATAGTATAGGTTTAGGGTTTAGGGTCTTTTTTTTCTTTGAGGGCCTATTTCCCACAGTACCGTGTCTGCAGGGGAGCCCACTTGGGCAGGCTGTCTAGGGTTTAGGGTTTAAGGGTTTAGGGGTTTAGGGCTTAGTTTAGGGTCTAGGGTTTAGGGTTTAGGGTTTACAGGCTAGAAAGGGTCCTTATATACCTACTTTACTTTAAGGCCAAAGCAAAAACTATGTAGGCCTCGCCTTCCTCCACTGCACATGGGTCCAGCACCCACTGACCACCGGGCCTGGATCCCATCAAGCTTGCTAGAATCTTCTTGTTGTAGGGTTTAAGGGCTTAGGGTTTAGGGTTTAGGGTTTAGGGAGCGAGAACCCAGATCTTAACATGGTCCCCAAAAGAGGGGTGCACAAAATTTGGGCTATGGCAGGTTGCAATATTTGAACAACTGCCCCGGCAAACCCCGCGACACCGGGTGTTGGGCGTGGGTGATACGATTTCGTTGTTTTCTCAAAGCTCTTGGAGGTAAGGGTACTGTACACTGCAGGTTTTCTCTATCGGTGTCTACAGTCATGCGTGGGTTCACTTTATGTGGGTGTAGACGGTCGCAAGATTGTACCCTGAACGAACCCTAAACCCCAAATCCTAAACCCCTAAACCCTAAAACCCTCAACCCTAAACCCCTAAAACCCTCAAACCCCAAACCCCAAACCTCCAAACCCCTAAACCCTAAACCCTAAACCCTAAAACCCCTAAATTCAGAGCTTGCAGGGCTTTTAGGGTTTAGGGGTTTAGCGTTTAGAGTTTAGGAGTTTAGGAGTTTAGGGTTTAGGGTTTAAGGGCTTTGGGTAGGGTTTGGGGGCTTCGGGTTTAGGGGTTTAGGGGTTTAGGGTTTAGGGTCTATGGCGGTATAGGGTCTCGGGCTCAGGGCTTAGGGTTTTTTGCTCTACCGGCTTCGAACCGATGCCTTAGACGCAAAAACCACAGAGTGGCGCAAGGCATGGGAGCTCCTCAGTTGCTGGGTTCATCCTGAAGCTTCAGCACGAGATTTCGGATCCTACTCTGCTCCTACTTGCTGCAGTACCATGAAGCACAACAAAAAACTCTGTAGACAAATCACATCTTGCGGCCTTCAAGCAACTCCGACGCACCTGATGCACGAAACACGCCAACCCCAAGCTACTCGAAATACCTCGCCAATTCTTCACTTTCAAACAGCAACCCCAAGTTTAAGCCCTAGATACCAAAATCTGAAACCTTACCACATACTGGGTTCTTGCTTAGGAACTTGGCCTCTACCCTGTGTCGGAAACCAAGATCCAGAAGAACCCTAATTCTAAACCGTGAACCCCAAACCCTAAATTCTAAACCCTGAACCCTAAACCCTAAACCCTAAAAACCCTAAACCCCTAAACCCTTAAATACTAAACCCTAAACCGATACTTCCCGAAAAGCCAGGGCACGAAACCCAGAAAAACCGGCCGAGGCCCGGGCATCTGCGCGAAGGTGGCGGGCAGAGGCCGCGAGAGGAAGGTCACCCCTTTCGCCTGAACCCAAACAGTGTTTAGGGTTTAGGTATTGTAAGTTTAGGGTTTAGGGTTTGGGGTTTAGGGATTATAGGATTAGGGTTTAGGGATTGTAGGTTTGGGGTTTAGGCTTTAGGGTTTAGGACTTAAGGCTTAGGGCCTAGGGTTTGTTTAGGGTTTAGGGTTTAAGTGTTAAGACATATAAACCACAATGATCATATATCCTTCCAGTTGTCCTTGTGCTCAGCCTGTGTTAATATTACAAAAATCAAGCCCTGACTGATGGCAGATGAACTAAAGGTCTCAAAAATGCCTTTAGGGGTTATAGGGTTATTTGGGAATGTTTAGGGTTTAGGGTTATTTAGGGATGTTTAGGGTTTAGGTTTTCGGGCTTAAGATTTTCAGGGGCTGGCTTCTATAGGAGGCTGAGGGCATTTACTAGGGCTTCTGCTTGGGCTCTGCAGTGGTTCTGTAAGGGCCCTCGGGCTTGAGTAGGATTTGGGGGTTTCCGAAAATAGGGGACCCTAATATAGTGCCCCAAATAATAGGATCCTTGTTGTAAGGACCCCAAAATAAGGTACCCCTAATTTTCGGAAACTCCCATTTGGGATTCAGGGCCTACATAAGAGGTTTAGGGTCTGTTTGGAGCTTTTTTAACGTTCTATTAGGGTTCTTTGGGGGTTTCATAAAAGCTCCACAAGCGCTCTACATGTTTGGGTCCAGGTTCTGTAGGGCGTTCTGCAAGGAATTAGGTTAATTAGGGTTTTTGAAGTGTTCTCTATGGGTTATGTTGGGGTTTTAAGGATGTGGGGCAATAACAGCAGCAACAAGGGCAATGGTGACTGCGACAGCAACATGGGCATCACGTGCCAGCACGTGAGGGAGGCGGTTACGTGGACTGTACATCGAAGACGACATCTTCTGTCGACTTTGATTCAGCCGCCCACCTGCCCCCCCATACTGTTGATGAAACAAATCCTGCTTTACCTTTTTGGATCCTAAACCATGGCATATGTTCCTTATTATGGGTAATGTAGGGTTTATATCATCAACCGTATGTGGGGACGGCTGGTCTGCATGAGAAGGCTGGACGAGCCGAGATGAGCATTGCGGCAGATTTAGCCACATCGTACTCAAAGGCAAATCGAAAAAACGCCCATTGCCGCCACCAACGAGAACCGTCAGGCAACAACCATTTACAAAGTTATCATTTCAAAGATATAAACCCCCCCAAACATGAACGCAAGCAGAAACCCCTAAACGCCAAACCCCCAGAGGCCCTCACCCATGAACCTTAACCCTCTCAACCCGAGGCACCTACACACCTAAACCCTAATATACAAACTTCAACAATTAGAATAGGGTTTAGAAACCCTAAACTCTAAAGCCTTAAAGTCCTAAACCCTAAACC